GGGTAGCGCCGTTTGAATGGCAGCGGGCTGGTCGGGTTATCGGATTCTCCATGCTATTACAACGTTTGCCTTGTAATCGCAGCTACTTCCAGAGCTCCAGCATCATCATGCGGCATTTCGCGCTGTATTTACTTGCAAGCAAATATCTCTCGGTGGCATTTGCCTGGTCAGCTGAAGAGTTTGCATTATATGATTTGGTGGAGGAGGTTGCCGAGAATTTCTACGAATTCTTCGGAGTTCCACAGGTTCTTTTTTTTCTTTTTGATTTTAGTGGTTAGAAACGCCGCGCAGCACTGTTGTCATGCAGCAGTTCGATGAATTAGAGCGAGGGAGTTCATTCGTTTCTCGGCTAAATTAGTACTGGGCAAGTCGACTCTCTTCTTCCACCACCAGCAGCTTCTTTTTGTAAGCTATCCTCGAAAGAGGAAACCGTTTACAGGCCTCCCAGCTGTTGCTGTTGTTGTTGTTGGTGCTTGCTACCGCTATTCGCCGAGTGTCTCCGCTTCTCAGACACGGAGGAGATTTAGGCATTTTTTATCACTTCTGGTCTGTATTCACTGTTTGTCAGGGGCGGAGGTATAGCACGAATTGAAAGTAACAAAAATCACTCAGTGGCAAGCCCTTTGATTGGGACCTTTTCCAAGATTTGCTGATAAGCAAGCTGATGGCACTTTCGGTGGTTGGTTTTAAATTATTGAAATTTTTTCTTTTTTTAAAAGGCTTCCTTACTGCAACTATTCCGCGCTTCAGGATCGTTTTGCGGAAGGCCCATGGCCTTCTCTTTTAAAGATTGCGAAAGAAATTGCTATTTGTCCTCCCAAATGTCATTTTACAGTCACATTAATTCGTCGTCAGAGCTCACTGAAGGAAGACTGGTTGTCAGGGATAACTGAGGAAGGGTGGAGACTGTAGACCTCATATCTGGGATACTTGTAGTAGCTGTTAGTTCATCGTGTTTTTCCACCACTGCAGCTGGAGTTTTTTTAACGGCCACAATCTT